TAGATAGTTCTATTCTAAATCTTTTTGTTAATTATTATCTGTGAGCGGTGCCCTTTCTATATCCTGAATAAAAGACTACTTTTGTAAGAATGGTTGCCTGTAAATTAAGAGGAAGTATTGTACATACAAAAGGAGTTTCTTCTAACATCCCTTTTAGAGGGCTTAACTCGAATCCGTATTACGGCAAGTTTGATCGAATTTCGCTAAAACAATATTTCTAATGTCTTCACGAGCTTTCTTTTTACTTAGCGTTACATAAGCGCAGAATTTGTTTTTGCTTTTGTCTTTTGGAATAAGCATGAAAAAATGACGTATTTGGAGGGGTATTTTGCGTTGACCGAATACAATACTAGTCATTTTAAATCATTGCGTGAACTCTGTTCGCTTTGAGCTTTGAGCAGAGCCCCTGGCACTGTTACTATTCAAATGGTAATTTAAGGAATATTGTGGTACTTTCGCATTGGCCTACGTCCTTTTACCCGCTGGATTAAAGTAGAAACAGCCGTTTAAACTTGGCATCTTTGGAGCAATTTAAATACCTTCAATGCAATTATTTTGAGGCTCTATCAGACATTTTGCAGATTTGCTTTGAGTAACATTACCAGCTGTAAATTCTTTGTAAAGGTTATTTTTAACCAGTAGCTCGCAAATATTATCTTTTAGAGATTCTTCAAAGTGTCACTGTCAATCTAAGGTTATAGCTTAATTAGAGCCTGACGTGCTTATTGACAAATTGTTGGCAGGATTCACATTATAGCAAACTCAAAACCGTCCCTAACACCATTTTTTACCGGCCCTTTAATTCATTTTTGATAAAAGTTTTTTTTGTCACCTTTGCTTTCTATGAGAACCCCAGTTTCCACTAACTTATTCTATTCCACAAATATTGATAGTGAGTAATATTATTTCAAGTATACTAAAGGTAATCTCCATTTATTTCAGATGTTTAGATTTATTTATTCATTTATGATAACGCTATATGCGTTCACAATTATATCTCCTTCCTTCCTGAAGAGAATGGTTGTTGATAATAAAAAATTACAATAAAATAAGAGAAAAAAAAAAGGGTTTTCAGTGCTCTTCCTGACGAATTAAGGTACAGAACTTTTCCTGATTTTAAGAGACCTGTACAAATTCCTAATACGTTTTATTAATCTTAATTTTTTTGTCAAAGATATAAGTTGTATATTATTGTAGCTGCCTGTGATGTGGTCACAGCGATGGACGATATTTGTCACTTCGGGGTTATTACTAAAAAGTTACCCATGACTAATGCAATAACAGACGTTTTCTAAACCTCTATTTCCATTGTTCTCCCATAACTTGAACCTCCTATTGCTTGTGGGGCTTTCTGAATTGTTTTGTTCCTTTAATAAACTAAACCAATGACAGCCGTCTTTGCAAATAGTGCAGATTTACGGCAATGAAGGCTCAACATCAATGGCCACGGCTTGAAACGCCTTGCCTTTTAAATCAGAATATATTACTCTCCTGCATTAAGCAACCTTAAGGGTATTATCTGAATTGTGCTTTCAATTTAGCTACTTGCATTTGTAGAGTGTTTTTTAACACATAATGCACGTCTATCTTGTCAATTTTCCCTTTGATAATTCATCTCTCTTAAATGATCCGCTTTTAATTTGAGGATTTGAGCCTATTTTGTTTAACTTTGACAAGGGTGTCTCCCATACTGAATATAAAACAAAAACACCTTACAGCTGAACCACTTGCCTTAACCATTAGGGTGGCCGCTTAATGCAGGTTGGCCGCTAAATACATGCTAGAGTTCGTCAGATATTAGCATAACCTTAAGCAAAAACTTTACTTTATTCTGAAACAAACACCTTTAGAGGCCTCTGACATCTTTCGTACAAGAGAGTTCTTATACCAAGCAAAAATACTACAGTATAATAACAAACAAGCAAATTTTACTCTAAATGTTGTCGTGAGGTTCTCCCAACTTTGCACGAACAATAATAGTACAGTGTTTACTATGCCCTCAGTAAACTATATAATCGAACTAAGGCGGCAATGTTTGTTTCTGAAACCGTGCATTGCGGGTCCACGACCAGTCGTCACTTTCTATCTCAGACTGTATTTTCCTTCAGTACACTTTCAAACAAAGCCAAACAAAGTGTTTTTTGTTGGCCGCTTAATAGAGGTGAAAAATGATGGAAGAACTCTCGTCGGAATAGCAAAAAGGTGGCCGCGGCCTCTTAGTAAAGGTGGTCCCTTAATGGAAGTAAAGTTACAATTCTATTCTACAATTGTTTTCGGAACTTTGATTACTGGCCGCTTAAGAAAGGGTGGCCGGTTAATGGGCCGCCGCTAAACAGAGGTTCAATAATATTTCATGATAGATTAATCCTTCAAGTTTCAGAATCCGCTCTATAGGAAAGACATAGAAATGACCCTTTCTTCATGTTCGACATGACGGTGTTAGTCACTCAGCTGCACTAAAAGCGCCCGTTTTCTCTATTATTGTACAAGTTTTTGTGGTGCATTCATGCTTGAATACTAAGCCACAATTGCATATTCATATACTTCCTAAGAAAGGTCAGTTTCCTGTCGCTAATTCTATTCCACAAATATTGCAAATGCACCGGATATAATAAGTTATCTTCTTTGAAAGTAAGCCATTTTTCATTATACTTCGAAGGCACAAGAATACCTCTTTTCTGAACAGAAATGATGTTTACCGGTAAGGGAAAAGAAAAACAAGATAAAAAAAGTAGAGTTTCAACGCCAGGCCTTAGCGTTTGCCCATATTTTTTTGCCATTTCTGTGTGATATTACGCCTTTATTAAAACCACTTCCAAAAATGGTGTGATTGAATTGATTTATAAAACATCACGTTTTGCTTATGGTAAAGCCCTGTGTTAGAAAATACATGTAATAAACACCTGAAATAATACCTTCATGACATCATAGTACCTTTTTTGACTAATAGCACATTAAACAAAAAGTACAAAGTGTGAGGATTCTGAAGTCATTAGCGCCAATAACGAACGCTTCAAACTTGAACTACACTTTTCTCGAGAATGGCTGCCGTTACAGGTCACTTAAATTTCTGGAATTGGACGGGCGTTCAATTTTGCAACAAGTTTGGCTGAGTACTGAGAATTCACAGACTATACCAATAATTGTTGCAGTTTCTGTAATAATTCTATCACCTATCATCGTTTTCGGAAATTTACTGGTCGTTTTCTCCATTTGGAAAGATTCTCTGAAGAAGCTTTGGTCATGGCCATCAAACTGTATTATATTATCTATGGCAGTTGCCGATTTAATGGTTGGGATAGTTACTTGTCCATTGACAGCGTATTGGGGTTGGGCTGTTCATCAAATGAAGAATCCGACCTTTGGCCCAGTGACATTTAGTATTACCTTTTTAAATATCAGCGTCACCCACATGCTTCTGTTGACAATTGACAGGTTCTTTGCATTGGTAACTCCACTTCAATATCGAACAAAAGTAACAAGAAAGCGAGTTTGTATCGCAACTGTTACATGCTGGGTATATTTTCTTCTCTTTGGCTTCGCGTTTAGTCTGTCAAAAGACCATTTCACAATACTAGCGGCGATAAATAACTTACAAATGTTCTCTCTTCTTATATGTATTTTCCTCACGTACTTTGTGATACTATATCGCTTTCACAAATATTCCAGGTCTGCTATAATACATGACAGTACGGCCAATCGTCATCGACGAATATTTCAAGCTGAAAGAAATCTCTCCAAAGCTGTCGCTGCTGTTATCTGTGTATTTCTTATCTCTTTCATACCCTGGCTTATTGCACAATTGTTAATGTTTTTTTGCCTCCAATGCAATCGAAATTTATCACAACTTATACTTGCATTTGGACTTATACAAGGATTAGTGTACGGCAATTCTGGTGTGAACCCATTTTTGTACGCCTGGAGAATCCCTAGATATCGGGCTACTTTCAAGTACTTTCTAAACAATCGGAGTAGATGCTGTGTTCGTAATGAGAAACCGGCGGAAAACGTTGTTTACGATAAAAAATTTTAGTGACTTTAAACTGAAGCAATGGGTTCTATCACGATGATGACGTTCATTTACACTAGACTGTGTTAATAGGGAGCTTAAGCAACCGACGACGGCGACATCAACGTGAACGGCAAAAAAGCTATAGGTTTAGATTGGCAAAACAACATTACTTTGCAAATGCATCACGCTTTTCTGTACATTTCTTTCACGTCACTGCACGACTAGGACATGAAAATGCCTAATTTCACGTTTTGTAAGGATTTGAACACAAGACAAGGTTTTTCTTTTTCTTTTCCTGAACTTCGATACAATCTTTTAAAATTCAACTCCAGGAAAAAAAATTGCCAACATTTGGCAAATTGAACGTGATGGAATAAGCGCGATAAAGTTTGAAACAGTGCCTCTTTATTTTTTTAGTGACGTTCGTAGACATAGTTGTTGTTGCTTAAGAGCGAATGCACAGAAAAATCGAGCAAACCGTGGCCACAGCTCAAAACCTAACCTACCCTCATTTTCAGTTTGTAATAAGCTTTTCATGAGTTTATAACACTGCTGAGGTTTGAATTTCAAAATGCGGCCGAGTTTAGGAGATATCTGAATTTTCGATTTCAACGGTCCTCGGGCCTAAAATGAGCCGCCGAACACGGTAGCCTGAAATTCATCCGATTGCTTCGAGTCGTTTTCTCCTCTCAACAACGTCGTTACTGAGGGAGTAATAACGACTCGAGGTAATCGGATGAAATTCAGGCTGCCGAACACGGCAAAATAGCCCAGTGACAAAATTGACCTGACTTTCATAAACGAGCGGATATATTGGCAATCTGTCACTCGAGAGTGCGAGCGGACCTGAGGCTAGGTCTGTTTTCCAGTTACTGCAAAATATGAATGACATCAAGAAATAATTCTCGCTTGAGTGTTAATTCTTAAATGAATAAACTTTGCAGCCCCTTTTCCTGTGTTAAAATAAACTAGCGCAATTTGGTTCCTTTGTTTCTGAACGGCGACAGTGAGTAAACAAACCCTAAAAGGAAGGAACATCTGAATGCGTGATCAGTCATTTTAAAGATTTTAAAGATTATGGCGTGGGAAACCAAAACATTCGCGGCCTAGCGATTTCATTTTTCTTGTACTTTCAGGTGCCCTGTTTTCTTAAAAGTCAGTGTTAACTACAATGGGTTAGTAAATATATTGTCCAACTTTTAAAAATGGTACAGTAATATTCATAATATTCTATGTACTATGTATTGCTCAGAAGGTAATTTGCACTACGCACGGAAGACAAATAAGTACATTAAATTATCAGGTTAAAGGTGGCTTTAAAGCATGGACTATTTATGTTCTAGTGAGACTTGTTATAGAGTGTAGAAAACAGTATATTACAGAAAATCACAAGCTGGATACCTCTGTTTCTTTCTTTTTTTTTATTTCCATTTCCAAGTAAACATATCGCAAACGCGATAGAATTCTACTTTTTCACCCCAAAAGCTTTTTTCGTGTTAAAGTCTTATCTTTCAGATCTATACTCAATGCATCCCCTGCTAACAACCAAGGATTTAATTTTGCATAACAACTATATGAAATTGTACTTTCTAAACTTCTTCTCCTACATTTAAAACAGCGCTCAACAAATACGGTGCGGTTTAGACGTGTATTAAAAGAAGGGCGCCGTCCCCTTGACCCTTGACCCTTGACCCGTTTGGCATGGCTACTAATAAAGAAACAGTTTCCTCTTTTCAAGAAATCGTTGGCGGCTATTGCGGTTTTCAAACCAAGGATAGGAGTAAGTCTGTCGAAGTCTTACCGCTTTTGGAAGAGATACATAGGCGCGCACAAGTCAGTGCTTCTATTAACTGGTGGTGAAAATAAAGTCGATCTTATTTTGTCAAGGGCGTCTATGTTCGCTCCGCCTCGAAATGTCAACATACTCAACATCTGTCCTCGCCACCGAGAGTCACTTGGCCTTGGCTGGAGACGCCCTACAAAATGTAAATGTTCCGTTCGTAACGATCTTTCAAGGAACAGCGCTAAACCCGGGGAGCGGCCGAAGGATGAAAGAGGGATAACCGAATGGATGTCGCAGCATATTTTGCGAGAAACCGGCATACTTGTTCCTGTCGGCTCAGGTACCATTGATTACGAACAGAAATTGAGGGTCAGAATTTAAACGCAAGGATGGATAGGAAGGCGGGGAATTTTTATAGCAGGAAAATTGCTTCTCTCATCTGTTCAGTCTTTTATATATAAATGTCTCGTTTCAAAGTAAAGCATTGTGGATGGTTTTTAATTTACAGGAGTGTGCTGCAAGGGTAGAATTGCTCTTACAGCAACTGCAAATGTGGCGACGCCTTCCGAAACTGAGATTGCTTCTAGGATGGGTGCTATAACTTCGGTATGTTCTTGTGTGCGATCATGGATAGTAGAAAGTCTGGATAGGAAGTTATGTCGCGTGGGCTGATTTGTTATTGCCGATTGGTTGTTTCGTGCTCCGAGATGGCGTTGGATGGTGTAGTGTTTCACGGTCAGTGAAACATCCGGATTTAACCAAAATAAATGCACACAACAACAGATTCAACTCGACACTTGACCATGTCCTTTTTTAATTACCCATAACTCATTTCGACCGTACACAATTACATCATCGATACTACAATCTCTCCTTTTTTCCGAATAAATCGTCTAGTCCAGTTTCTTAAACAAAATAACAATACAAACTATAACAGTCTCTCAACGGCTACTAACTCAAGGAAAAATGATCCAATGTCCAAGACTTAAATCAATACAAAATGACATTTTCATAAAGGTGAAATGTCCTTCGCAAGAACTGTCCATTGTGTAAACAAAGTCTTAACCAAGTTCATAATCTTTTAGTCTCTCAGGTTGACAATTGTGCCCAGGCCGCAACGCATAATGCTGAGTTGAAACTCTTGGTTCCTCTTCCTGATTAGTTTCTGGGTCTTTTGACAAAGTCCCTTTAGGATTGCTGGTTTCTGTTTCCTGTGATTTGTCCTCCACATACTTCTGTAGATGGGTAACATTTCTTTTGTAGTGAATGCCAGCAGGAGACTTAATTTCCACATGACCTCCATGTTTGTTGACCACTTCATAGGGTGTGGCTTCAAATGATGGTGACAGCTTGTCTGACTTCGGTTTCTGAAGAAGAACTTTGTCTCCCTCTCTCAGGTTAGACTCACAAGCACCTCTCAGATTATCAGCATAGTCTTTGCCTTTTTGCTTTCTTTCACGATCTCTGTCCAAGACTTCACTGTCATTACTAGCTGAGCGCAACTCTTCCACACCTGGGAGCTTTGAACGAATCTCTCTTCCAAATAACAGTTTAGCAGGACTCTCTCCAGTAATTGTGTGTGGCGTGCTTCTGTAACCAAGCAAGAATTTCTGCAATTCCTTTCGCCAGTCACGTCCCTCGCTGTGCGCAACCCGCATCGCTTTCAGCAGACTTCTATTTTGTCTTTCAACCTCGCCGTTGGCTT